ATCAGAGGGCTCCGACTATTCTTCAGCAACAGACTTGAAGCCACTTGCACCTTTACAGGAAGCCGTATCACAAAACTCTGTGAGGAACTCCCCGCTGATATAACTCGTATTATTTGCAATTACTTACAACATCTTCTAGGCTCCATCACAGGAATCCGAGGAGTTTAAGCTTATTGTTAATGTTCTCGGCCAGTCGGTGTGGAGACAGGCAATGAACATAAAGAACCAGAAGGGAAAGCTTGATGCGTCCTTCACACCACGGGCCAACAGTTCTTCATATAGACAAGCGCAACGCGATCCAAAGATCAGAGAGGTTCTGTACTTTGACGACGCAGCGACAAATAGCTCCCTGCGTAAAGGACGCTGGGACGAGTACCCCAGTGATGGACTCGTCTGGTTCCCAGAAGTGACGATATATAAAACCCTACCGGACGATACTGATGACAAGCTCACTGGTATCGCCTACCAAGCCCGAGCTGCCATCAACACCAAGGGAGTAAACGGGGCAGCTGCAAAGACGAATGGGAGTGCAAATGGATATGCAAATGGCAAGACAAATGCGGCAGAGGTTGGGGCGTTTCATGATTCGCGAGTCATGAATGCCAGAACGGTTAAAGGTACACACCACAAATCTCAGTCTCATGACAGCATCGTAAAGGCCTCATCGATTAAACCCCTTCTCCCAAAACAGGATAGTTATCAAACACACAACCCACCGGGGTGGGCACGCAAGGACGTGGTGCCTGGAATTCAGGATATGTTAGGTGAAGACCTCCTCTTTTAATACCCCTACAATTGCCCCTACAGCATTAACACTATCAGTATCAAATGCTAACATTGAGGCGCCAAAAAATGTAGTGTCGGTAACGGGCGATAATACTCAGAGGGTGAACTAAAAGGGTACGAACATATTGGAAGGCAATTTTTTCTCGGCTGGCCATGGGGAGCAAGTGGGTATGGGTTTTCTTTTGGAGCAGTGGATAAGTTTACGCTTATGGTTAATATTGTTACTTTCCGTCCATTTTTAATTTTGTTGTCATTTTCCTTGCCTCTTTTTTTTCTTTCTTTTTCCTCTTGTCAATATCCGGTTTTTCCTACTATTATTTCCAGCTATTTAGCTCGTCCAAAATGCATATTCTTGTCGTTGTTTGGGTATCATGATTGCAGTATTCCAGTGACTAATTTCTAAATTTCATGGTTAACGTTTACTCGCGAGATCGCGACGGTGAAGTGCTATTGCTGTGATGAGAGTTTTTGCACAAATGTAGTAGCTCACTGTAGATAACTACATGTGAGTTTCAGAAAGAGATAAGCCCCGTCCTCCATCACGAGGCCTCTATAAGATCCAGAGGTTATAGGGTGTATGATGGACATCTGAGTTACTCGATTACAGAGTCTGCATATGACGGTTAGTTCCCAGGTTGGAGAGGTCGTTTAAACTCGGGTGTTTGAGCTACAGCTGGAACATGACCATGACCATGCATGGCGGCCAGGTATAAATTGCCCATGGATATTTTGCAAGTGGTATATGTATGGGAAATAATTTTGCTCAATGGGTATCTCGATGCCGACTCATGACAAGCACGTGCACGGTAGTTATACATTACTTTTGGAGCTAACAAAGAACCATGGTTGTACTCGTAACCATGGTCATTCCCTTCATCTTTTTTTTTATTTTTTTTTTAGACTCTTCACCATTTTAAAGGATCTGAATTATAGGCGAGTAGCTTTATAGTATGTACATATTAGAATAAGATGTCGATACGCAACCTTGCAATTGATATCCAATCCGCAAGATATTGTCTTGAAACCCGATTCGAAATTCGAATTCGAATTCGGTAAACTTAAAGGCTTCACCGATAGATCTAGAGTACTCGTACTCGTACAATTCATGACCAGGACAGCCCAAAACATGTACAATACAATCAATATTGGCCAATTCAATTGAACCTGCCTTGCCTTTTTGTACTCAGGGAAGTTATGAGTGACTATAGCTAGTCTCGTTCGAACGCTCTGCAATGAGTGACAGTCGTCCACGGATAGGTAGGTAGTCTTAACGTTGGTACGAGGCTAGCTATGTCGATGCCCATGCTAGTCTTGTTCCCAGTCATCCATCTACTCTAACTAGATGGATAGAACGAAACGTATCCTGATCCGGCCGTTATGTCCGTGGAGCCAGTCTAACCCTTTTTTTTATGTACATGCTTGCTGAATTGGGCATGCCGTGACTTCCATCCATCCCATGGTCAGGAGAATGACTCTTAAGCTTTCTTCATGCTTGCTAAGCTTTCTTTGCCGGGGAAAAAAGAGGCTAGGTACATAAGCTACAGCAGACAGAGAGAGTTAGCTCCGTGAATGCGTTTGAATTTCTTGGATCACGGTGAAGAATATTGACCAATACCAACATAAGGTAGGATAAATTTATCAATTGCAATGAAAGTTTTTGCCTTCATAGAGTAGAGTGAGTACCCGATGCAGAATGCATTCAACCGCAGCGCTCAATAGGGGTTGAATTCGTGATAATTTTTTTTTTCTTTCATGCTGAACAAAGACATGATATAACTATATGAATCATGAGTACGAACGAGTACCTGTACATGTTCTAGTATACTGAAAAACGTGCACGCTCTCGGGTTCCACGTGCCGATTGCAATTGCAACATTATCCGAATCCGAGGGGCCTCTGGTTAACCGGTTCCCAGATTAGCTACCTCTACTCTATATTAATTCCAATAACTACCTACGGTAAGTACATACCTAGTAGAGTATCCACGGATAATAAGCCGCCGGTGAACCCTATGCATATTAATTACAAGCTTCAATCTCAGGTGAGCGCATGCGCATGCGGGTGAACGAAGCTTGTGAGAATAGATCTTTAACTGTGACTCAGTACTAGTACTACCTACTCTACTTACTATTGCCTGCAATTTCCCCAACCCCTACTTAGCAACCAACAACAAACTAACCTTACCGAAAGTTCACTGCACTGCAAAACGCTTACCCAAAACAGGGATTCAACGGTTGAAAACCCCAACCGGACCAGTGATCATGATCGCGAACGCGACGCGGAAAAAAAAAAAAAAAATGTCATGTCGATTCCGAGCCTGTAACATGTTGTAGGATGTAGATTCGGTAGAAGGTGTACTGTATGTACATACATGTACTCGCTGATGTCAAAAGTCTCCGTACACCGTTTAACGCCGTTGCATGCATAGTAACTATGTCCGAAGACTTTAGACATCACCGAGTAGTACGTAGTATATACCCCTGAAATTATAAAGCCAGAGTAAGATTCAATATATCGATCTCAGCAGGCAGGCCTGTGAGTTGCGCTTGTAGAATAGGTAGGTATCGGATCATGATTGCTGGGAAGAGGTGACCAAATCCGGATCCCCAAATTAGGAAAGAATACAATTGCCGAATCCGAGTGCATAGGCCAGTAGGTAGGGGATATATCCCAATATTCCCCAGGATATACTAAAAGAATAATCAAGAATAAAAAGGAGAGGTTATCCCCCCCCATTCGATTCAAATCCTCACCCCTCACTCCACACATCCAGCAACCTCCATCTATAGACACTCTTTCGTCTTTTTCAAGCCAAACAGATCTACCGAACAATTCGAAATCTTCCAAGATGGTGTCTTATATCTCCAAGGTTGTTGCACTTGCTGCCGTCGTCGCGCCCTTCACAGTCTCCGCCGTCACGCCGATTCTGGTGGCAGGTGGATGCTCAAACTTCCCGGGATACAACAACGAGACGTCCACCTCCGGCGGAAACGTGGTCTGGGCTGTCAACACCATTGCACCCGTCAGCGGCAATGGCCTTACATACAAGACCAGCAATGGCGTCGCCGAGGTTAGTATAGTCAAAGCCATCCCTTCTTCCCTCCTTCCTACCCACTCAATATCAGCAGACCGTATTCTTTCAAATTATAAACCCAATTACAATCCATCTCAATTACTTACTTTACTAACTCCCCAATAGTATGTCGTCGTCGTCAACAACCAAGAAGCCAAGGGCCCCTTCCGCTGCACCGGCAGAACCGCCTCCGACACCGTCATCCAAAGCCTCTTCGGCGGGTCCTGGTCCCCCGCAAAGGTCTCCGGAAGCAGCCTCAGCGCAAAATTGACGAACGGCCTCCCCGGCGCAGACCTCCAGGCGTACTGGCACGACACCCCCAACGAGGGCCACATCTACCTCGGCAGCAACGGCGCGACCGAGTGGGCCATCAAGAAGGACCCTACCAGCAACTACTGGACACTCAGACTCCTGCCGAACCTGTGTGATGTCGCCGGACTCCAGGCTGGCGAGGAGAGGACTTATTTGGCCCTCTACTAGATATATGTCGGTGGATTATGGATGGGCTTGTGCTTGATTTGTCGCAGTGGTAACAAATGCTGTTTGTTGCCTGGATGGATTTTTCAAGTGTCTGAGGGTTTAATATATTGGAGCGTTCCTGTATTCCTGTGCTGTTCATCTACTCCAAATTTCATATTAGTTTATATGCTAGATTAGAAAAAGATAAAGTTCTTGTACAGACCTCATTTTTGTTGTACAGTAGTTAGAAGGAGATGATGTGATCTATGGGTTCGAATTCGAATGAGTGGGCGGATGCCGTGTAGCAGGAAGCTCTTTAATGGTACAATTCAAACTCATCAGAAACATTGTTAGACCGTGCGTGCCTGTTCTCGTGCCCAGACTTGGTCGTTCCGTGCGTGCCCAGCCCTCCTATCCAAAAAGAGCTACAAACGTTCCTAATCTGGAAGCCATCTACTTCCTGAATTGTCGCAAGCCACTTTGCCATGAATTGCATTGCGTGTTCCGAGACACAACATTGCCCTAGACATCCTACACGTTGCCGCAGCGCAAAGAGATTGATGAAAAATCTAAACCCTCTTTTCACATTCACCGCTTTATTCCAGCCAGACCTATACGTATACTGTAGATGAGCGTACTTAGGAAATAAAAAATCAAAAATCAAAGGACAAAAAAATATAATTGCCTCCTAGCGGAATTGAACCACCGATCTTCGCATTTCAGAAGCTGCTTGAAGGCAGCCGTACAAGTGCGACGCTTTACCACTGAGCCAAGGAGGCATGCAAGTGAATTCGCGTTGGGGCTATATAAGCCCATGCACATTCCCGCCTGTCAACCCACACAGCACATTTCCCATTAAAGAATTCATGAATCCTCAGCAAATTGCAATTGACTCGCATGATCGATACTAATGATATGGCTGGCCTGTTTGACAGCATACATAGTAGGATGGAGAACGAGGCCCATCTCGTTCTGGAAAGCTTACAGACTCAATATCCAATATAGTGCAAAAAACCTTATCACATGTACTGTACAGTAATATGATCACCGTCGCGATCTTGCGAGTAAACAGATCCAGACGTTACCAAGAACAAGATTAAAAATTTATTGGAAGAAAGATAAAAAAAAAGCCATCAGTGCGCGAAAGGCCTAGACATACATTAATATTATTATGGAACGAGACTACATTATTATCATAAAAACATAAGAACTATTAAGTACTAGTAAGTATTAAAAAATCACACCCATTAAAAAGAAAAAAGACATATCAAAGAAATTCAAGCATAAGTAACCACACGTAAGAGTGTGAGCGGATCAGGAAAGACCCATGAAAATGCATGTCATGTAGTCTTTCCCTCACACCCGACTCCATATTCCCCCACAATCGATCAGTAAACAAACCACACAAGAGTGTGAGCGGAAAGACTCATGAAAATGTAGACCATGTAGTCTTTCCCTAGGCCTCACACCCAAATTATACTCCTCCACACGAGACTACTCCTCCACCACTTCAATTTCTTCCATCCCCGTTTCACTTGGGCATTAACATTCCCACTTCATCTTGTTAAACCTCCCGGTTCCGGACCGATTCCTGATCGATCCCTCCACTCCTCCCTCCACCACACATCCCTCATCCCCCACTCCCTTCCTCATCCCCAGATATTTCCTCCCCCGCCCCCAATCATATACATAATCGTACTTACCGCTTAAAAGCAAAATAAAAAACCGCGATAACTTGAAAAAGAACTGCATGCAAACAAAAGTAGGTACTTAAACACAATTCCCAGCAAGGTAACCATAAAGTCAAGGAAAAAGTGAAAGCAACCAAGCTTAAAGCAAAAACAAATGTGAAGGGAAGCTAAGTAACTCCGCGTCCCGTACAGTCAAAAAATCGTCCCACTTCATACGCCGACAAAGACCAGAAAACGGTAGTAAACCAACTTGAAGATAAACAAACAAGATGATACTCGACTTTGAAATAAAATGAGAGAAATGGCTGGAGAAATTGCGCAGAGGTATATATGCCGCCCGAAAGCAAGAGCAATTAAAAAAGAAAAGAACAAGTGAGAATAGTGTTGTAAATAATGTCTAAATGTTTGACATGTTGGATATATGAAGGACTTTAGTGGCGACGCCCCTTCTTCTTTGCCTTCTTTTTCTTCTTCTTCTCCTTTTCTTCGCCCTGTGGGGTTGCTGCTGATTTCTGAGGAGAATTGGTGTCACTGGGGCCCGAATTTCCCGGAGGTGTGGTAGTGACTGTTGATGAATTAGCATTTGTCCATGTTGATTTGGAATTAATCTGTGGAGCTTTACCTTCATCCTTTTTACCGCCCTGTGATTCACCAGTAAATTTTTCTTGCTGGCCCTGCTTGGTGTTACTGGTCTCAGACTTTGCTGGAATTGCGGTGAGGGTGGATGGGACATTTGGCAATTGAATAGCGGATGCGGACTTGGCTTTATTTGGCGGAACTCGCTCCTGACTCTCGTTTACCCCATTCGCCTGTTTGATGGAAGCCAATGGCCGAGCAGGCTTGTTATTGCTCGACTTTCCAGTGATCTCGGCCAAGACTGAGTTTGTCATTGTTGTCCGATCGCTGGGCTTGACGGCTTTCGGGACGTTTTCCTGGCGCCCCTTAACGTTTTTGTTCGCCAAAGGAGGAAGTGACTTCAAAATTGTTTCCGCAGACGCCCCAGGATAAGCCAAGATAGCCCTCGCGATCAATTCTGCATCCTCCAAAAACTTCTTTGAAAATCTTGTTGGGGCAACTCCGGAGATTTCGGAAAGCGTAGGCGAGGATGAGTTGATCCCATCGGTCCCGAATAAAGATTCATCTTCATCTTCAGAAATACCAAGCTCTGGGCAGGTTTGGACATCCATATCCCTTCGTAGTGCTGGCTGGCCGCTGATATCCTTTCTAGAGTCCATACGTACCACCGCATCCACTTTAAGTATCCAGGCTGTACAATCTGTAATATTTATGTATTCAAACGAACGCCTAATTGCAGCGCGACATGCCCTTCGTTGATTCATAGGAAGGCGAGAATCGTAAGGGCAGGTGGAACAACCTGAACAGTCGTAGAAGCCACACTTGTTGCTGGTGGCTTCGCGTTTTCTTTTCCCCAATTCGACTGCAATGAATGGTAACTTGTTGATGCCTTTCAGGTATTGGCTGATGTACTCGTCAGAGTAAATTCGCCTATAAGCCCATTCATCGTCAACTGTCTCTTCAAAGAATGGAGGGCTGAGGGTAACGTTGTTGTCCTTCCTATAGGAGTCCATCCATTTTTCCCGTGACATTTTCCCATATGCATGGCTAAGGCGATCATATTTGAAACAATACTCCCCAAGCCGGCCTGCATCCCAATTTTGCGTTGTAAATTTCGCAAATTTGGGATCCAAATCCTTTTTTCCCGGAATTTGAACTTTTTGGAAAGGCCACGGCTGCTTCATTTCACTTTTGACGATATGGTTCTGCTGTTTTTCAGAGAGTGTGGATCCCTTCACGCCTTGAAGTTTTGCCTGGGAAGCGGATTTAGCAGTGGCTGCTTGGTGAATGACAATGGTTCGCGCTTTGGTAGGAACAATAGTGGTAGGAACAATAGTGGTAGCCCGGGCAATGCCGAAATTGTGACCTGGCTCACTTACACGTTCAGGTTCCTCGTGCAGTGTAGTTTCCTCCCTCTTTGGTGCAGCTGAAATTGTCGAGGCCTTGGGATGTACTGTTTTGCTCTTTCCGACATTTTTGGTTGCACCTGACTTTGAATTTGGGTTGACTAAGTACTTCGTGAGAATCTGATCGACTATATCCGTTGCCTCTTTTACTCTTTCTGTGGCACTCGTATTCACAAATCTGCGCACCTCATCCTTTACCGCCTGAGTCATGAATTTTTCTTTACCACAATCATTCATTGCACTTTGGATGCGCTCAGCTGCGTGTGCCTTTATATCTGCTGTTACCTGAGCCTTCAAGGCTACAAGATCTTGAGGCCTGAATTTAGTGAGATTCGAGGCACAATCTCGATCAATTGAGGTTATGCTCGGCAAATATTGTGTCTGAAGTTCATAATCAGACATCTCATTGGCCAATCGGGCCATCAGCGTTGCCTTTGTCATGCGTGGCTTTTTACCACCCTTCCCATCTCGAGATTTGGTGGTAGATATCATAGTCTTGGATGAGGTGGAGCCACTACCTTGTGGGGTCGACTGGTCACGATGCCCGCCAGGGACGGATAGAGTTGGAGGCTTTGGCGGCGCAGGGCCTTCTGCAAGCATGGATTGATTAGAAGCTTTGGGCATGGATTCATCAGAGATGTGAGGCACTAGGGCTTGTTGAGCTGCTTGAATATCATTCCCTGCGAGTGGAGTTGGAAACAAAAGCCCTCCAGAGGCTGGACGAGTCGAGATCGGAAGCTCAAGGGCCTCTTGTAGTGCCATCTCAACGCACTCTTTCCCTAAAGTCACTGTGTCCTCCACTAGTTTGTGAAAGGCTACAATTTCTGGGATTTCCATCCGTGCCTTCTTCTTCTTCTTCTTCTTCTTCTTTTTCTTCTCTCCATTTTCTTCTTCTTGGGTCTCCCAGGTCTCCTCATCGAGAAGGAGTTCTTGTTGAGTCGATTTCACTTCCCCTTGAAGTGCATCTGCAGCCGAAAGTTGTTTAGATGGTTCTTGCGGGCTTATGGGAGCCTTATCTGCCTGGATTGTTTCCAGTACCCCACGCCATGCTGATAGTTTGGTGCCTGTAGACTCCAAGAGTTCTTCCGCATTAGGTGTGAGGATGAATTCATTATATGAACCACTGGCTGGTGCTACTTGTCGAAGAGGCCCCTGCTTGAGTATGCCGTTGGGGAGTGTAATGTTTCTTGGATTCTCCTTAGACTTAAGAATCGCCCCTTTCACTTCTGGTAATTTTGTGGCTTTTGTGACATCTGGTGGTTGGAACATGAATTCTTCCCTCATTGGAGAATTTTGCTCCCGCAAAGCTTTAGCGACCAGCTGAGTGAAATCCTTTTTCTTTGAGTATATAGTGACAGATTCGACTACTGATGATGAGCTGCCCTCTAGGATGTTTCTCGGGACATTCCCACTGCATTCCCCCAAATCGAAACCTTGAACGGGGCTAGTTTGAGAAATTTCAGTTGAATTTGCTTCAGCTTGTACATTGTGCTCCTCTTGTGGCGGCACAATATTGCCGGGTGTTCCATTGCCGATGATAGTTTCTACATTTGTACGGAGCTGTTTGAAGTTTCTATGATCGGGTTTGACGAAAGCCAGGCTTGCAATATATTCATCGCGAGTGACCAAGTAGAGATGAAATAATTCCTTCAGCTTCTTCTTGGATATTCCAGTTTTTGCCCTTCGCATCAAGTCCTTGCTTGATGAATGAGGAAGCGCATGTGCCCCATTCAATGATAAAATGTGGGCACCGGAAGTATGGTGACTCAAAAGTGGGCGTGTGGCCTTTGGCTGTTGAGGGCTCGAGGCTAGTTTTCTCTGCACGCCTCCACTTGTTTGACGTTGAAATGCCGCAAGAGAGAAAATAATGCTCAAAAGATGCTGCTCCCGTGCCTTCTCATTGAGTTCTTGTGATATTGCAACCATGATTGAGGTTGGGGAAGGGCAACATGGTTCACCCCTATGTTGACGGGTAACCGACAGTGCCTTGATTCCGGTATCGGCCTGTATTATCACCAACGTTAGAACTCTATATGTTGAGTAAGCATATACATTACTTTATCATTTACCTTCTGTTTGTTTTGCGACGTAGCAAGCTGTGGAAGT